TAACTGCTCCTAGCAGTAAATTGTATCAGATCTGGATTGGCACAGTTTGTCCTTTAAAACTGGCTTATTAGAGCTCAGCTTAAGCTGTGAATTTTGACCCTATGTGAGGTTGTGTAGTTGAATGTGGGGGCTGGTAAAAAAAATTGGCAGTAGTAAAGGTTTCTGGACATATAATGAACAAAAAGTAATTTAAGATCAATGCATAATTAATCCAAGATGTTTCTGGTAGATAGACAACTTCACCCCTTGATTTTGAACACAACATACATACTTTACACTGTGCATGCTATCAAGCCACTCAGTGGCAAGAAATACCTGAAACAGCTTGGCTAGGATTTGAGACTGTTGTATATTCTTGAAATGGTCTATGAATGGAGATGGTCTGCAATCTCTGACCTGGTTCTTATCTGCTCTCCAAGAATGGTAGGCAGGCAGCAAGGTGAAAACAGGATAACTTTATTTGCTACATGGGAATAAAGAATTCCAAGGGGCTGGAGAGATGACTCAGGGGTTAAAAGTACTTATTGCTCTTCCAGAGGATCTGGGTTTGGTTCCCAGCACCCATATAGCACCTAACACCCATCCTTAACTCCATTTCCAGAGGATCTGACTCTCTTTTCTGGCCTCCAAGGGCACCAGGCATGCATATGGTGTACTTAAATACATGTAGGCAAAACACTCATATACATGAAATAAAGATAAAATATTTTAAAAAAGAATTATGGGGCTGGAGAGATGGCTCAGCAGTTAAGAACACTGGCTGTGTTTGCAGAAGACTTGAGTTTGAATTCAACACCCACATAACTGCTAACAACCATCCATAACTCCAGTTCCAGGGGGATCCAACACCCTCTTCCGTCCTCTGTGGGCACTGCATGGCACACATGCAGACATAACACTCATAGGCATAAAATAAAAATAAATTTCTAAAAAAATTAAAAGAAAAGAATTCCAAGACCCTCAAGAGAATGCCATTCAAGAGATGTTTCAACGTTTAAGTCCTTGGTAGGCTTCCAGTGCCTAGCTGAGAGATTGTAGGTATTACAGCCTTATGCTCTTGGAGGCTTTGGGAATGCCAACTTAGATTGGTTGCAATTTGGTTACAAAGCTCTTGGACAGCTTTGGGGTGCCAGTTGAATGCAGTCCCTTGCAGATCAAATCTGCAGGTCACCAGTGGGAGTAATGAGCAGATCTCCTGCCTCTGGCAGGTCTTAAAGACGGAAATCTCAGGTCTCTCAGGCAGGAATGAGTCCCTCTGCCTGCAACCCCAGATAAGTACTGGAGTCTGCCTTAAGTGAACTTCCCTAGGCAGAAGCTGAAGGCATGAGAAGCCAGTGAGTCCATCTCCAAAGAACTCTCTGCCCAAGGCGGAAGCTTCAGGCACAGGGAGTTGATGAGTCCTGCAGGGAGCAGTCAAGTCCACCTACCATCTCTAGTGAGTCTTATGGATGAGACTTGGGTAGGAGAAGGGGGTAGGGAGTGGGAAGGAGTGTACTCCTGCAAGAGCCAGGAGCCAAGTTCCAAAGTCTTCGTATTTTCCTCTTTTGATAGTTCTGTAGTGAAAGTATATGTCATAGCCCGAGAACCACCAAATTTATTGATGACCAACTGGGCCCTGATTAGTTGGAGCTATTGTAATAACATAAGGTGTGAATGATGTCTGTGTATATGTGAATTTCTACATGTCCCCTGTTCAATCCCTCAAGGTCTCCCTCCTCCCCCAGCATTCCAATCATTTTGTATCTTCTTACAGTGTTTTAAAAATAAAAACCAATCAAAATACTGTCATCTATAAGAGACATGAAAGCAGAAAAGTATAAGAGGCTAAAATTTTCTTTGTTCAGGGGCCCTGCTTCAGAGAAATCTCTCTCTGGTCACTGTATGTACAGTAAACTGCTCCCTTTTCTAGCCCTTAGGGTCCCGTTCTTTATTCTAGGCCTGCTATTTTGGGGGCTCATCCAGAATCAGAGACTGTGAGTTGCACCTCTTTTGTCGTCACAGTGACAGTTTCCCTGGACTGCCTGGAGTGGTGAGTGGTAACTCACCTGGGAACTAATGGACTACTTGACCATGGGAGGCTTGCCCTTCTGGCATGCCAGGGACATTGACTTTGGGAGCAAAATGGCCCAGGCAGGCATAGAAACCAATTCAGGGACGTGCCCAGCAGGACTGTCAAGAACTTGGGTTCAATTCAATTTGGTTTTGGTTCAATTTGGCAAATTGATAATTTGGTTTTAAAGCTCACCCATTGGTTAGAGAGACGGTCTGATCAACCTTCAAGGCCTAGAACTGCCTAAGTGTTTTCAAGGAAAAGAAATAGACAAGGAGGTCTGGAGATGGTTTGTGTGTGTGTGTGTGTGTGTGTGTGTGTGTGTGTGTGTAATTTGCGTGTGTGTGTGTGTGTGTGTATGTGTGTGTGTTTACTCAGTGTGTGTATGTCTGTGTGTGCATGTAAATGAGATGGATGACAAAAGAGTGAGTCCCTATCTGCAAGTTCATGGTAAACCTCATGTGGCTTAGGGAGACTCTTAGGGAGACTCAGAGGTCCTAATGGGCATGGTGCAGTCTCACCAATGCTAAGAGGTGTCTGAAATATCTCCATCTCCAAGAGGAGAATGGCCAGAGATGAATGAAGCAAAAGT